CATTAAGTCATGTAATTCGTCCAAATTTACAGGTGTTGGCGGAATTCCTTGGACAAAGTTAAATTGTTGCAGCACGCGTTTAATAAGATGTCACTCAATTATTTCGTAATGTATCAACAGGACTGTTAATATCCAAATGTTCGAACTATAAAATATTTCAGTTGGAATACATCCACTGACATCAGAATCATCGTACAACGTCCATAAGAACTACACAAATTTTTTGTAAACTAAAATAAATAATCTCGGTTTAAAAACAAATGATTTTTAAATTAAAAAAAATAAATCGATTAAAAATATTACCTTATCTCTCCTATTATCAATCAACAATATAAAATCTTGCATAATTATTAGTAGGTGGGTGTGAGATAGGGGGCTACACCACCTATCATTCATACAACAAAATATTATTATCATCATATTATGAAAAAATGTATAATATAAATTTAGTTTATTTTTTATTACCTCCGAAGTAGTTAAAATTCGAATGGGGTAGGTTCTTTAAGGACATTAAAAACTAAGGCCATAAGTGCAATAACAATTAGAAACCCTCCAATGACATGTTTCTCCAGGTCAACGGTTTTACATAACTATTGGAATAGAAATACCAAGACTACTGATCCTCAATTCATATTTTTGGATTGTTAAAAATTACGTAGGTGAGGCAACCACATCAATTGTACTTTGTTGTGGGATTTGTCCAACATTAAGATCCCCCAATAACTCGTAAAATATGTTTATGAGAAAACCGTTTCAAAAACAATAATTGTTGATAAAAATTTTACAATAAGATAAATTTCAAAATTCTAGATAAAAATTTAAAAGAAAATAATCATAAATAAAAATTATATTAACATGCTTAATTTTCGTAGGAACATTCAGGGTAGCTTAGTAAAATTTTGGTTCAAAAAAGTGATATTTATTTTACCACCATCCAAAAAGTTTGGAGGAATTCCGAGCAATTCTTCACACAAGTTGTATCAGTTTGCTTCAACAACACTGATTATAATCGTTCCGTCAACTGACAAATCAAGATAAAATGTAATATCTTGTAGGGTAATAGTAGCTTTCCTACATGGAAGATGAAATGTGTCTATCTCCGACCTCCACCGTTTTAGCAAGGCGTTTAACAATTGAAGATGCAACTTGGCACCGCCAACTATAGTGTCGATGTGGCCAAAACCGACATCTTGTCAATATGGAACAATATTCTCATTAGGTGGTGTAATGACAATTTAATGAATGTTCATATCTCTTAACATTAAAATTTAAAAATAAAAAAGTAAATAAAAAATAAAAAATAATTCACTAAATAAAAAATAAGATTTTACCTTAAGATTTGTTCGCTAAAAGTCGAAAACATGTCTTAAATCCATTCTTAGTAAACCTGCCATAATATCGCGAATATTCGAATTTTTGAACTAAGGAAACAAGTAACAAACAAGTAGGAAAGAAACAGAATTGAGAGTGATGTGTGAGAAAAATAATAAGGAATGAGCCCTTATTTTTAGGAGTCCTCGCACCCCTTCCTAAGCGAGGAGTCAATGGACCTCGCGCTCTGCAGAATGCGACGTTCGTTGAAAAGACAAGACTTTAATACAAATCAATTCCAATGTCATAACGGACCTCGCTATGTGCATAACGCGAGGTCCCAAGATTTTTAAATTTATTTTTTTTGTTTTTATTTATTCGAATATTATATTTTCGGGTTATATTTATTCGATTAAAATCTAATAATTAATATTTTTTTTAATATTTATTATTTTTAATTTTCATTTTTAAAAAAATTTAGGTCCTCACTCTGTGCATAACGCGAGATCCCTTGAACAAAAGTGGCATTTCAATCCTGCCATAAATTCTTGAGTTGGTTCAATTTCTTGGATATCTCGCTATGTGCAAAATACGAGATCTTTTTTTAAAATATTAAATTGAGTTATTTGAAAAGTATTTTCACGTCGGATGAATCTCACGCCTTAATACCTTAAACACATTTTATATAACACGAAATACTCTACGTGGGCAACTTGAAGTCATATTTCTATATAAACCTGGATGAGAGTCATTTTCTTAATAAATTAATAAAAATGGGTTATTCTATTAAAACTGCCAAAATAAAATATAAAAACTTATGATTCATCTCACCATATATCATCATAATGCTCGACAGAATCAAAAGTCTGGCAATACTGTCTTTGACCATAAAACCTTAATAGTGCAGCGCACTTAAGGCGTTGAAGGGATTGTACGTAACGTTTTATAGTCAAAATAAGCCAGCTGAAGGTGCAAAATATGAATAACCATGAACCGGAAACAAAAACAGTAAACATTTATGAATCATATTAGGGTGAACGTGAGTCTAGAAATTTTAACTTATTCGAATTGACGAGTTTTATTTTATAATTTAAATTTTACTTGAATTTTTTAGTCGAGTTGATTTTTTATTTTAAATTTAATTATAAATATTTATAATATTATGATACTATTTGATTATAATATAAATGATTTTCTATAACCATATACATTATACAATACATATATATTTCTTCATATTTTTTATATGTGATATCAATAACGGATTCAGAATTTTTTTTAGGATGGACACCTATATATTAATAAAAGAAAATTTTCTTATGGGATGGACAAAAATAAAATTTCATGATGGGCACATTCAGTAAAATGAACAACTAACATAAAAAGTTCGAATTTCAGGATAGACACATGCCCAACCCAGGTTCTACATACATCCGCCACTATGTGATATACATATATCATAAAAATTGAGAGACTCGATTCAAACTAAAAAATTAGTCTAATGATTATTAAAAATTATTAAAAACCATTCGTAGTATTTTTTAATAAGATGATTTAATATTTATACTATTAAATCTCTATCATATATAGTTGACTCTTATTCCCATATGTAATGGGGTAAAGGGGAGGTAGGATAGTAAGCTGCCCCCAACGCCAGGTTGAGAGCAACTTCCGTGGGTGACCTCCGAATTAGGAATTGCCCGTCCAGCTTAGTTGGTAGAGCGCAAGACTCTTAACCTTGTGGTTGTGGGATCGAGTCCCACGGTGGGCAATTTATAATGCTGGAGGTCTCTCACGGAAGCTGCTCTCAACTTGACGTTGGGGACAACTATATGCTTGCTTGCAAGCTTGTGTCATTTGATTTAGCAGATTTGATCCAATTGAAAGCAAGTATTACTCCATCATGTAGTGTAGTGGCAGATTTAGAAATTGAAAAATAGGGGTTCAAAATTTTAATACTCTATTCTAAAAAAAATTGGGTGTGCAAATTTTCTTATTTTTTCATATTCTCGTTAGTAAACTAAACTAAATTTAACACTTTTCTCAAAATAATGGGTGTGCAATGACTCCCCTATGGAGCCATGTACATCCGACCGTGATGTAGTGTTAAGTATTAACGTCTGATCTTATTAAGTATAGGGTTATTTTTTATAGACATTTTAATAGTTTCTCGTCTGATCTCAGTAAGTATATAGTTATTTATTTATAGACATTTCAATAGTTTCTCGCCACTAATATAATAATAGAAATTTTCGATCCAACAAACGAGAGTTGAGCTGTAATAATTCTAGACCTATTTAAGAGTATGATATTTGAACCCTTGGAGTTTATTGGATGTTATTGAAGAGAATTAGACCTATTTGAACCTAAAAAGAGAGAAAATGAAAGGAGACTAAAGGTTGAAGAACCAAATAACTAATTAACCTATTGAGGGTAAGGTTATTGTGGGATTTAGCTTGGGAAAGCTTATAGCTTTTTCACTCACCTTCATCATGTTTGTCTCTAGGGATAAATTGATTGCGCCGTTACCTTAAAAATTTTAAATTTCCTTATATTTTAATTTTTTATTAATAATTTATTTCTGTCTTTTAAAATTTTATAAATTTATCTCCTTATATAAAATTATACCTCGATCTTCATCTATTTTTTTTTCTCTATTTTCTCTTCCATCTTTCCTACATGTAAAAGAAAAGTTTTAACTTTGTTAATCTATTTTTTTAACATAAACTTTGTTAATCTAATTTTAACGTATGTCTAAAAGTATGTTAATTAAAATTATATATTTAATCAAATACATGTGCAAGAAATTAAATGTAACGACATTTGGTCCTTTTCTAAAAGTCGCAGCTGCCCCAGATTCATAACTCATTAGCCACGTGACTAGAAATATTGATTAAATAAAAACTCACGAAACCAAGTAGCTGTTGAGGCAACATCGATCCATATAATTCTAGCCACGTGACATCAGATTCTTGTAAGGAAAACATAATATTATTATTTTGAAAAGAAAGTAAACCATTTGTTATTTCTACCCAATAACATGCATGTTTTGACTCACTATTTAAAGCAAATATCATTGGGAAAATAGAAAACGAAATACTAACATACATGGCCTGCCAAATTAAACAAATCAATGTTGGTTAGCTATAAATACAAGGGTAAATCACACAAATAGTATCTCGATTATAGGATGTTGTTTTCTTGAGTTCATCGACTATTAAAAACTTCAAAATGATCCCTCAATTATAGAATATTGTTTTGTTGAGTCCCGACTATTAAAAGTTACAAAATAATCATCCGGCTATTTAGGTGTTCCAAACTCGTCATTTTTCATAAAAAAATGATGAAAATCTAAGTTTGGCGTTAATCAATTGATTGAGATATGATATTTATTTGAGATTTTAGAATCAAATTTTATCATATTACAGTCAGTAGGTTAACGTTTAGCTCAAACTGTCGTTATTTTTTTAACAGAAAATTGCGAGTTTAGAACATATAAATAGTTGAGTAACTATTTTTGTAACTTTTAAAATTTAAAGGACTCAACAAAACAATACCTTATAGTTAAGGGACCATGTCATAACTTTTAATAGTTTAAAAATTAAACAAGTAATGTATTGTATACTTTATACTAAATATAAATCATAAAAATTAAGAGCTTTCTCAATTTGTCCAACAACTTCGGATAGATGACACAAACAAAACTTTCTTCATCATTAAAAGTTGAGAGTTGCAGCAGCCACAATCACAGTAACTCGAACTCCCCCACAGGTGAATCCATGGAAGACTACAAAAAGGCTAAAAGATCATCAACAACAACAAGAACAAGAGATTCAAGCAGCAAACGCCCAGTTTACAGAGGGGTGAGAATGAGGAGTTGGGGAAAATGGGTGTCCGAAATCCGCCAGCCCCGCAAGAAATCTCGCATTTGGCTCGGCACCTTCGCCACACCGGAAATGGCGGCCCGAGCTCACGATGTAGCAGCTCTCACCATCAAAGGTGACTCGGCGATTCTCAACTTCCCCGACCTTATAAATTTGCTTCCTCGACCGGTTTCTTTAATGCCTCGCGACATTCAGGTTGCTGCAGCTAAAGCTGCTTCCATGGTTAACTTCAATACTACTTTATCGTCTTCTTCATCGTCATCATCTTTGTCTGAATCCAATGGCTTGGAAGTACCTGAAGAACTGAGTGAAATCGTTGAGTTACCAAATGTAGAAGGGAATTTCGACTCACAAAGCGAGTTTGTACTTGTTGAGTCGGTTCATGGGTGGGTTTATCCTCCACAAGATTTTTATGGAGGATTTTCTGAGCAGATATGGACCAGCGAGAATTTAATCTCTGCAAACTTGGAAGCTTCCATGTTGGAATAATTTGCTGTTGCTTCATCGACTTCTTCATCGTCATCATTTCAAGTTTGTTTGCCTCTTTTCTAACATGACTTGTTGCTTTTTCTTTTGGGGAAATAACACTGTTGGCTCCTTATTTGGTTACCGATTTTGAAAATATTTGGTTTTTGGTTCTTGCGTACGTTAATCCGTTACTTTCGTGACACATTGGTAAAAATTATTAAATTATATTTTAATATTTAAAATTTAAATAAATTTTTTATTTTTATTTCTTAAACTTTATATAAAATATCAATTTGACCTATAAATCCAATCAAAGATCATGTTATTGACTGTCACTCATCAACGTCGTCAATCATAGTTGGTTTCCTTCACCGGCCATCGATATCTGTCGTCGTCAATGATTGTCTGATCTAAAAATTTTCAATTCACCAATTTTTTACCCCGAACGAAAATCTAATATTTGTTTGTTAAAAAATATCTCTAACGTTTGATTAAATAGTCATTTTAAACCTTATTTTATTTTAAGTATTTTTTTACTAAAAATAAATGTTTTTATAATAAAAATAAATATATAATGTGTATCACAATTAAAAAAATATAAGGAATAACACGAATAAAATTACTTTAGTGGTTAAATAAATTATTGTTATTCTTAGAGATTTTAGGTTCGAGCACCATAAATTACAAAGTATTTAAGCATTTATTATTAAATGATTGAGAATCTTTAAAACATATATTTCTCCTTTAAACGTCCTAAATTAAAAAAAATCAATGAATGAACCGAACATGTGCATACTTTAACATCTTTAGGTAGACACTTAGTTTTGGCCAAATGATATAAATTTTGTATTTGAAGTGATTAAAAGATAGTATTTGTTCAGAATTTTTAATTAATTAACAACGCACATACACTGCAGACAACTATTTTTTTATAGAAGCAGTTAGTTTTGTTAGAAAGATAAAATATCCAAATTTATAATTAATGTTTACGATAATAAACGTAAACTAATCACGTAACGAGGACATTTTCCTATAACAATCAACACAAAAACTTGACACTTAAGATCACATAAGAACCATACAATAAAAATGTTAAAACCCTAACCAAAGAACTCAAACAAAAGATAAATATGAATCGATCTGACCACATTGACAAACGAATCGCAAAATGGGATAAAACTACTGAAAGACCACCGAAAAATAGCAAATTAGAGTCAAGCGAAGTCAAACTATTCACAAACGCAAATTGCGTATATGAATTCAATTCCAGGGTCCAAAGCAAGGAAGATCAACATGATAACAAATAAATGTCATATTGATAGTCGTTGCGATGTCAAATCCAATTCTGGAAAAAATATAAACAAAAATAACGATAAAATGACCTTGAACGTATCATGAAAAATAAAAAAAATGTGTCACATACATAATAATATATCATAAAGACTGTTGGGAAATATACCAAGTACAAGTAATTTCTCTATAACCAGATTAGTGAGAATGCACAATAAAAGCGGAAAAATAATACCCGAAATTGATAACGGAGTTCAGCCAATTGTGCTTACGTCTCCGGACTGCTGCAGATCTTTTACTAAGAGAGAAAATTTACAGGTGTTTACAAAACACTCACTACTCACAAGAAAACTCTCTAGTATTGGGAGAAAGAAATGATTTTTGGGATGGTTTTGAAGCTAAATGAGCTAGGGTATTTATAGTTGAAACTTAAGGACTTAATCTTATAAATACCCTAAAACCTAGGGATTAATTATTATTATCCCATTATCATTTTTCAACAAACATCTACCAAACTTTGAAAAACTATTTTTCAAAGAAACATTTACCAAACTTTGAAAACCATTTTCAAAGAAACATTTACCAAACTTTGAAAACCATTTTCAAAGAAACATTTACCAAACTTTGAAAATCATTTTTTCAAAGCTGGTTACCAAACTTGAAAACCATTTTAATACTTTCAACAATCTCCCACTTGAAGACTGATTTTAATCTGTCTTCACACCTCGATCTATGAAACAGCTTTTCTAGTCTTGTTACTCTAGCATGCCAACTGAAGTTGAACACAACTTCAGTTTGTCTGTAGTTGAACACAACTTCAGTTTGTCTGTAGTCACCGTCTTTGTCAACATATCTGCCGAATTTTGAGCTCCACTGATCTTTTCAAGTTTCAAAATCTCATCTTCCAGAAGAGACCGGATAAAATGATATCGCAATTGCATGTGCTTTGTCCTGGAATGAAAAGACGGATTCTTTGCTAGATGTATAACACTTTGACTGTCGCAATACAAGATATTGTTTTCTTGTTTCTTGCCTAACTCTTCCAAGAAACTTTGGAGCCAAACCATCTCCTTGCTAGCTTCCGTAACAGCGACATATTCTGCTTCAGTTGTGGAGAGAGCAACTATCTTCTGTAGTTGAGAAACCCAACTCACTGCGGTTCCTCCTAGAGTATAGACATACCCTGTAGTTCTCCTTCTGATGTCAACATTTCCGGCTAAGTCAGCATCTACATAGCCTGTCAGTATTGTATCTCCACCTTTGAAACAAAGTGCTTTGTTTGTGGTACCCCGCAGATATATGAGGATCCATTTGACTGCTTCCCAGTGTACCTTGCCCGGATTATTCATGTACCTGCTAACAGCTCCCACTGCTTGAGCAATATCTGGTCTGGTACAAACTATGGCATACATCAGACTTCCAATCGCTGAGGCGTACAGCACCTTCACCATGTGTGCACGTTCTTCCTCCGTCTTTGGTGACTGTTTTTTGGAGAGTCTGAAATGAACACCTAAAGGTGTACTTACTGGTTTAGCATCTTGCATGTTGAACCTGGAGAGTACTTTGTTGATGTACTCAGCCTGTGATAATATCAAAGTCCCTGACTTTGTGTCTCTCTTGATCCTCATCCCAAGAATCTGCTTTGCAGTGCCCAGATCCTTCATAGCAAACTGCTTTGACAATTTTTGCTTCAAGTTTATAATCTCTTGCATGTCTGAGCCTGCAATGAGCATGTCATCAACGTACAACAATAAAATAATGAAGCTATTGTCGAACCTCTTGATGTAGCAACAATGATCTGCTTGGCATCTGGTAAAACCACTGTTACTTATGAAACTATCGAACTTCTTGTACCACTGTCTAGGAGCTTGTTTTAAACCATACAAGCTCTTCTTCAACCTGCATACCAGGTTTTTCTTGTCTGCCTCTATGAAGCCTTCTGGCTGCCTCATATAGATTTCTTCCTCCAAATCACCATGAAAGAAAGCTGTCTTTACATCTAACTGCTCAAGATGTAAATTCTCTGCAGCTACAATTTTCAACACCAGTCTGATTGTAGACAGTTTCACGACTGGAGAGAAAATTTCATTGTAGTCAATACCTTCTTTTTACTGAAAACCTTTGACAACCAATCTCGCTTTGTAGCGTTTGCTCCCATCGTACTCTTCTTTGATCCTGTAAATCCACTTGTTGTGAAGTGCTTTCTTGCCTGGTGGTAATTCAGCTAATTCCCACGTCTGATTTGACAAAAGCGAGTCCATCTCATCTTTCATGGAAGACTCCCACTTGACTGAATCATCCACTTGAATTGCTTCATCATAGCACTCTGGTTCACCATTATCAGTCAGCAACAAGTAGTGCAAAGAAGGAGAATACTGTTGGGTTAGTTTAGGAATTCTGGAGGAGCGTCTTAGTTCCGGTGTGCCTGGTTCTTCTTGAACTGCTTCAGGACTGATCTGAACATCATTTCTAGAAATCTCCTCAAACTCAGCAAATTCCTTTGTTTCAGCTTTGGTATTGGAGCTGCTTGATTCTACAGTTGACATGTCTTTGTACATCACATTCTCATTGAAAATGACATCTCTGCTTCTAATGATCTTCCTATTTTCATAGTCCCAAAACCGGTAACTGAACTCATCACCGCCGTAACCAACAAAGGCACATTTGTTGGACTTAGCATCAAGTTTACTTCTTTCAGCAGAGTCTATGTGTACATAAGAAATACAACCAAACACTCTTAAGTGTGAAAGGTTTATTTCTTTCTTGCTCCAAACTTCCTCTGGTATTCTGCCATCCAAAGGAACTGAAGGCCCACGGTTGATCAGGTAAGCTGCAGTGTTAATAGCTTCAGCCCATAGAAATTTGGGCAATCCAGCATGTATCCTCATGCTTCTGGAACGTTCATTCAGAGTTCTGTTCATGCGCTCTGCTACGCCATTCTGTTGCGGTGCCATGGGAACTGTTGTCTCCATCTTGATCCCATTATTTGCGCAAAAATCTCTGAATCTCCTATTTCTGTACTCTCCTCCATTGTCAGACCTCAACCGCTTGACTTTCATACCATTCTCATTTTCCACCATGGCCTTCCATTTTCTGAAGGTATCAAAGACTTCTGATTTTTTCTTCAGAAAATAAACCCACACCTTCCTTGTAGAATCATCGATGAAGGTGACATAATATAATGAGCCTGCAAGAGATGGAACTGGAGATGGTCCCCATACATCAATATGAACTAACTCTAACTTTTCAGCCTTGGGTGTCTTACCAATCTTTGCAAAGCTGACTTTCTTTTGTTTGCCAAAGATGCAATCCTCGCATAGTCCGACATCTACATTCTTTAGATCCGACAGCTTCCCCTTTGACAAAAGTGTCTTCATCCCTTTCTCGCTCATATGGCCAAGCCTTTGGTGCCATAGGTTTGATTTTCCATCAGCATCTGCTACTGCAATGATATTCTCTAAATTTGAGGTTACATAGAGAGTACCAGTCTTCTTACCACGAGCAATGACGAGTGCTCCTTTGGTAATCTTCCATTCACAACCTGAAAAGGTTGTAATGTATCCTTCTCCATCAAGCTGTCCTACAGAAATCAAATTTCTTTTGAGACCAAGAATATGTTTCACTCCTGTCAGCTTCCAGGTGGTCTGGTTTGGCAGTTTTAGTCGGATGTCTCCTTTTCCGACGATCTTCAAGGTTTCATCATCAGCAAGATGAACCTTCCCAAAATCACC